TCTGCTGGACCCCCACTCCTTGCTGTTACTGCAGCTCCCCCAGCTCAGCCCCTTGCCAAGGTATGGATCTGTGAGTTTCCTTCGGACAGTGGGGAGGGAAAGGTCTTGAAGTGAGATGGACTTGGGGTAATAGCTTCCTGTTTTGTTTCTCTCTACAGAAAAAAGGCGTAAAGCGGAAAGCAGATACTACTACCCCTACACCTACAGCCATCCTGGCTCCTGGTTCCCCAGCTAGCCCTCCCGGAAGTCTTGAGCCCAAGGCAGCACGGCTTCCTCCTATGCGTAGAGAGAGTGGTCGCCCCATCAAGCCCCCACGCAAAGACTTACCAGACTCTCAGCAACAACATCAAAGCTCTAAGAAAGGAAAGCTATCAGAACAGTTAAAACATTGCAATGGTATTTTGAAGGAGTTACTCTCTAAGAAGCACGCTGCCTATGCCTGGCCTTTCTATAAACCAGTGGATGCTTCTGCTCTTGGCCTGCATGACTACCATGACATCATCAAGCACCCCATGGACCTAAGCACTGTCAAGCGGAAGTTGGAGAATCGTGATTACCGGGATGCACAGGAGTTTGCTGCTGATGTGCGACTTACGTTCTCCAACTGCTATAAGTACAATCCTCCAGACCACGATGTTGTGGCCATGGCACGAAAATTACAGGATGTATTTGAGTTCTGTTATGCCAAGATACCAGATGAACCACTGGAACCAGGGCCTTTACCGGTTTCTACTGCCTTGACCCCTAGTTTGGCCAAATCATCTTCAGAGTCCTCCAGTGAGGAAAGTAGCAGTGAAAGCTCCTCTGAGGAAGAGGAGGAGGAAGATGAAGAGGATGAGGAGGAAGAAGAGAGTGAAAGTTCAGATTCAGAAAGGGCCCATCGATTGGCAAAATTGCAGGAACAGCTCTGGGCAGTACATGAACAACTGGCTGCCCTGTCCCAGGGTCCAATATCCAAGTCCAAGTGGAAGAGGGAGAAAAAGGAGAAAAAGAAGAAGCGGAAGGCAGAGAAGCATCGAGGCCGAGCTGGGATTGATGAAGATGACAAGGGGCCTCGGGCACCCCGCCCCCCTCGACCCAAGAAGTCCAGGAAAACAGGTGGCAGTGGGAGTGGGAGTGCTGCTACAGGCCCTCCTGGCTTTGGACCTTCAGGGGGCAGTGGCACGAAGCTCCCCAAGAAGGCCACAAAGACAGCCCCACCTGCCCTGCCTGTAAGTTATGATTCAGAGGAGGAAGAAGAGAGCAGGCCCATGAGTTATGATGAGAAACGACAGTTGAGCCTGGACACCAGCAAATTACCTGGAGAGAAGCTGGGTCGAGTTGTTCATATAATTCAAGCCAGGGAGCCCTCTTTACGTGATTCAAATCCAGAAGAGATTGAGATTGATTTTGAAACGCTCAAGCCATCCATGCTTAGAGAGCTTGAACGCTATGTCCTTTCCTGCCTACAAAGGAAACCACGGAAGCCCTATACTATTAAGAAACCTGTGGGAAAAACAAAGGAGGGACTGGCTTTGGAGAAAAAGCGGGAACTAGAAAAGCGGTTACAAAATGTCAGCAGGCTGCTCAATTCCACCAAAAACACCCCCAAGAAAGCGAGTGAGAAAACAGAGTCATCCTCTGCACAGCAAGTAGCAGTGTCACGCCTCAGCGCTTCCAGCTCCAGCTGGGATTCTAGCTCCTCCTCTTCATCTTCCTCCTCTTCAGATACCAGTGACTCAGACTCAGGCTAAGGGGCCAGGCCAGATGGGGCAGGAAAGGCTCCAGGACCGGACCCTTAGACCACCCTGCCCCACCCCTTCCCCCCTTGCTGTGACACTTCTTCATCTCACCTCTCCTCCCCCCTCTGTAGGAGAGTTGGCTCTGCAGGGGGCAGGGATGCAGGGGACATTTACTGAAGGAGGAACATGGACAAAATGAGATTGAATTCCCAGCCCCATTGGGAGTGACCTTGGGCATAGAGCCCCCATTCAAAATGACAGGCGGGTCAGGGGTACAGGGTGGGAGTGTGCAAAGGCCCTGATCTGGAGTTACCTGCAGCCATAGCTGCCCTGTTCACTTCTAAGGGCCCTGTTTTGAGGTTGTTTGTTCTAATTTATTTTAAGGTAGGTAAGGCTGCGGGGAGGGTGGGGGCCATGGGTCCCCTCGGCCTCCATGGGGAGGGAAGACGGGGGAGCTCTTTTTTTACGTTGACTATTTTTTTCTACTCTGTTTTCCCTTATTCTTCAGCTCCATTTGGGGCTCTAGGGGTTTCAGTCATCTCCCCATTTGGTCCCCTGGACTGTCTTTGTTGATTCTAACTTGTAAATAAAGAAAATATTATTCAAGCTTTGAGTTATCTTAGTAGCACTTGTTTCTGTAGGAACGTGCTTAGAATTGTCTTGAGGATTTTGAGGAAAATGTTTCTGCAATGAGAAAAAGGGATAGCTTTGCTGTGGTTGGATTGTGACTTAATTTTTAAATGAGCCAATGGGCTCTTGCTGTGTTAATAAAATAAATGCAATCTGAAAAAAAAAATAAGTAACTCATGACTAAAAGGTGAATCTTTGGCATCTATACCATTACCAGCCAATTCCAAACATGTTCATACCACCTGCCTACCCCACAGCTGAAATCACAAACTTTCTTAGAAAAAAATCACCATAACTGAAATTTCCTTCCCTGACAATAACACTGTGTGCTCAGGTCCAACCTACCCCCTTGATAGTATTCAACCAATCAGCATACCAAAGGACAAAATGAAACAAAGTATCTAATTGTCCCATGGCTAAGGTTTCCTTCTTGCTTATTTGATGACAATCTATGTAAGATTGATATCTCTCCTATGTGAGTAAACGTCAGCTGTGCTTAAATTAATCTAAATGTCTCTGAGGTACTCTTTGATAATGATTATGCCTACATCAAAGAAGGGATAAAAGCAAGGAAATTAGTCTGGAATGGGGTTAAGGTTTTGAAACGGGTGGAGTTTGTGGCACCTGTAGGATGCTCGGGAGAGAAGCAATTAATTAAAAGGAAAGATGGAGAAGGTAGATTCCACAAAACTGTCTACACCACCATCTGAAGGTTGTCTGGGGAAGAGAAGCCAATCAGGACGACTGAGTAAAGCTATCAGAGAGGAAGAAGAGAAACCTTCCACAGGAATGTCTATGGCACAAGAGAGAAGAGTTTCCAGGAGAAGGAACTGAGCAATGGTATGAAATGTAAAGAGTAAGAGTCTATTTTATCAAATCCAATGTGCCAAGATATCTCTATTTCAGAAATGTTGAAAATCGTACATCTTAGGATACACAGGACTTAGAAATGAGGAAGTCATTGATGACCTTACTTAGAGAAATCCATTCCACTAGATTGGCAAGTGCAGAACTGGATGGTCTGTGAGGTGTGGTATGTATGCTGCAGGGATGCAGGGCCAGTGTGCAGACCACTATCGTGAGAAATTTGTGGTGACAGGAAGATATGATGAAGCTTGAGATGAGGTATGATTTAAGGGAAGGTGATTTTTACATTAGGACAACTTGAACCTGTTTGAAGACTAAGGAGAAGAAGCTGATGGAGAGAGTGGCACTGTAGAGATAGTCCAGTGAAGGAGACACAACTATGAAGTCAGTCAGGGTTGGGTCTAATGTCATTTTTCTACTTACCAGGTAGCATTGGACATCTACTTCTGTGAACTCAGAAGGCTCACAACCTTCTGAGCTTTAGTCTCCTCTTTTGTAAAGGGAATTATCATTCCCCTACCTTATAGAGTTTTTGTATGTATTAAGTGAGATTATCCACATAAAGTTCTTGGTCAGTGGCCATGACACAATAAATGCTCAATAAATGGAATCAACTATTATGAGACTAAGAGAGAGTATAATTGATTAGCCAAATCCAGGTGGAAAATCATGGGTTCAAGCCCACAGGTGGAGGAATTACCCCTGAAAAGGAAGAGAGATCCCTCTGTGGTGATTCTAAAAGATGTCCACAAATTCTTTGCTATTCCTTCCTTCAAAAGGAAAACCCTAATTCTCCTCTTGAGTGCAAGGATACTTAGTGAATTACTCTAATAGAAGGTGATGGAAGTAACAATGTTCAACTTTTGAGAATAAGTTGTAAAGGTTTTGTGACTTCTTCCACACTCATACTCTTGGAGCACTCAATCTTGGAGAAACCAGCCAACATTTCACTAGAACACTCTAGCAATCTTTGGGGAGACCCATGTGGTAAAAGATTGAGGCCTGCAGCCAACAGCCCCATCTCGGAAGTTGATCCTCCAGCCCTAGTCCCATTTTCAGACTGTAGCCCCAGCTGATATCTTGTCTGCAACCTCATGAAAGACTCTGTGCCGAACCACCCAATAAAACTACTTCTAAATTCCTGACTCACAGAAACTGTGAGATAACAAGTGTTTGTTCATTTAAGCTGCTAAGCTTTGGAGTGATTTGTTACACAGCAGTAGATAATTAATATACCCATTTTCTTTGAGGCAGAAGGAAATCAGAGACTGACAGGTGCCAGCATGAATGACACAGAGAGAAGAAAAGGTAGAATGCCCAATGGCCTCTATTTTCTCTGTAAAAGATGAGGCATGTTATCTACTAACAGTGAGGTGACTTGGTGAGACTGCTAAGGGGTTGGAATAGCCATGCAGAAAGTAGGAAAGGGAAAGTAGGAACACAAACAAGATTGATGGTTTTCTTTTGCACCTACCTTCCTTTATGCTATACTCAACCACAGAAATCACAGTTGCTAATAGAACTAGTCAGGCTCCACCTAATGAGTCTTTATCTCAAGTGCAAAATTCAGAGGCCAAGTGGCCTGTCTGAGCCTGCCCCAGAGACAGCTTGTGTAGACAAACTGCTGATGGGTGAGCTCAGGGCTGCCGATGGCTCAGATACATCTTGGAAAAGTACTCCCTGCTGTCAAAAATGATTTGCAGCAGCTATATAGAGTCTAGCACATTATTTATGAAGAAAGATAGAATATCAGAGGGAAGTGTTATAAGAGAAAAATCAGCAAGTCTATGTATTCTGCAGCAGGCACATTGCAGTAAGAGGAAAGCCCACAGTCGTTCAAATGTCTCAAGTTTGCATTATTCTTTCCTCCTTGGTCCACTGCCCCCACATCTCATTTGTTTCATTCTCATTCTCTCTCTCTCTCTCTCTCTCTCTCTCTCTCTCTCTCTCTCTCTCTCCACTCCAATAGCATGAGAGTCCTAGGATGTCTCCTGATTTAACCAACCATCAATTTTTAGTATTTATCTCAGAACAGGGTGGGACTCCAGCACATAAGAGGAACCAGGCTAGGACTGTACTCTCCTAAAGTTACTTTAAAAAGCTATATAGCCCTTGTTTCTCTAAACTCCTTAGGTCAATCAGGAATCCCTGCAGATCCTGCTCTCCTTATTAGCTTAACTTCTCTCCGAACTGGTTCTGTTTGCAAATTGGGAAACTGAAACTTCACTGCAAAACCAGTGCCTTTTGTACCTTATACAATAGGGTCCATTCATTCATTCATTCATCCTTTCACTCACTCAGCTGTTCAATTATTTAGCAACTCACTACTGAGTGCTTTCTCCATAGTGGACAGGCGGGTACTAATGTTGGGAATAAAGAGATGGCTATCGTGGTCTTAAGGAGTAGCAAAATGGCCTGGAACATAGTAAACACTCAATAAGCATGTACTGAATAAATAATTCCTATCCTCTATGCACATCATAGCCTTGTAGGGGAAAGGCATGAATACAAATTATTAAAATTGTTTTAGTACAGTAGTAAAGGAATCAATCAAGTGTTATAAATATAGAAGACCATATCTACTTGAAAGTTAGGCAGGATTTGTTAGAAGAGGTAACATTCACTTGATCTTGAAGAATGAACATGAGATTTCCAGGAATGGAAAGTTGGAAAGGTCTTTACAGGTAGACCAAAAGCACTCACAGGTCTTATTACCAGCAGGATTGTTTTTGTCACTCCAGTCTAATCTTAATTACTATTATTAGTATTTATCAATATTTTCTTGGGTTTTAATCTTTTGAGTGCTTTCTCCATAGTGGACAGGCATGTACTAATGTTGGGAATAAAGAGATGGCATATAAGAGGAACCAGGCTAGCACTGTACTCTCCTAAAGTGATAGGTTTAGGCAATGATAGGTTGTCAAAGTTAGATGCAGAACAATTCTACAGAGGATATTATTTTTGACAGAGTGGATGAAATCAATTCAAGGGAAAACAAAAGACCATATTTTAAGTTTCTTCCTGAATCTTTTAATTTCATGTAATTTCTAAGGCAGTTGGAAGATATTCTTCCTAAAAATGGTCTCCCTATTACCTCTAATCCTTCCTCTTTGACACCTAGCTAAGCGCCCAGAAAACACCCCCTCTTCCACACCAGGCCTGTGTTTACTGTTAGTTGCTCATTTTAGAGCAGTTCAGGGACCATCAGATATTGTACACCCTAAAGCAAAACGGCAAAAGGAATTGGAATGGCCAAATGCTGTAATATAATTTGTCCTTGTCAATTCATTAGTGATTTAAAATATGGAGAACATTTTTAATTGCATGACAGCATGGAAAATCACATTATACCATGGAGTAGAGTTTTCTAGTTCATCAGATTTCTCTGAATTGGAATTTAGGAAAAAAACTTTGCAGCAAAAAGCATGGATCAATACTGACACTTACTAAAATGTTTAAATGAGTTAGCCCAAGCATTTTGTTTCAAGAAACCACTGGCCTATCAAGACATGCCAGTGTTACCAATGCCAATTAGGTACATGTCCATGATATTGCCTAACCTGTTCTATTAAATTCTAGTAGACTACTTTGACAATCATAAAGGAAACAAAAAGGAACAAAATATACAAATGAAAATAGAAAGCCAAGGCACCAAATTGTTTTTCAGTTTAATCAAGAATTTGGGGCTCTATCACATTTGCTCTTGGCCTTGTAATCAGATTCTTATGTTCACCAAGTTGCAACCCTTATTGCATTTAATAGAGGTTGATGGGTATTTTTATACATAGCTCTGCAGTTTCACACTGTTTATCAGGTATTTAACCAGAAAAGCCATGCAACATTTCCATGAGTCAATTTTATAATAAAAGACTACCACCCACCAACCCAGTAGGTAGCAAATCAGAACAATTCAACAAATTGGAATTTTTCCCTTTCTAGCAAGCACACCATTGCATGGCTTTAGTTTTCTGGATTTTTAAAGATGTTATTGGAAATGCCTCTTCAAGAATTGAACCATCATCCTAAACAAATCAAAGGCAGTGTATTACCAAAAAGCAGCATGTCCCACATCCCCAGTAATATGTTTCTACATCAAAGAGGTTTGGGAA